ATCAGCCATTTATCTGTCTTACAGAAAGTTATGTTTTTCGTTCATTTTCTTTGCAAGTAGGTTGGATTCTAGGCCTACGAAATGGGAAGTCCAGTAAAGAAACAAGCAGCCAGCAAACAACTAGCTCTACCCTATTTCCCTAAACGACAAATCGATCGATGATGTGCCCTGTAATTAGCAAAGACCTTCTCTGGAAGTAACGTTATTATGCATCCCAACAAGTGGTGGCTCTCTTTCCAAATTGGGTTTCTCCGCTAGAGCAAGCATTTTCTCGCCAAATCCGGGTCCAAATTTCTACGGCAGAGGCGTTGAAAAACTCGTGGAATGTTGAGAACAAGTCGGGATTAAAAGGGAAACGCAAGCCTATTTGATTAAGTTATCTTCTAGGAGTAAAATTTTATTGAAGCAATGTGGACGTGCTCGTGGACTGAACGCCTTACAACGTACGTAGGCCTAAAATCCGACCCAATTCTAACGAAAAAACAAAAGATGCGATCGGATGGCGCTGCAAAAAAAGTTTTGTATCACCTGATATAAAAGAATGGGATTCTAAACGGTAAATATCAGCTTGAGATTAACGGTTAACCAAAAAAGTATGTAAATTCGAGAAAGAAACTACAAAGCCTATGCGACAACCTTTTAGCAGAATGTTCGGAAGAGTTTGGACGAGTTTCAGGGAACATCATAACGCGGCGTCCAACGGTAGAATACTCCCAATGAAGAGCGCTAATGCGACCAGTAGAATACAAGTGACCTCAGACGAATCAACCGAAGCTTTATTGATGAAATAGTAGATAGAGTGATGAACTAGTTTCCGTTGAATACAGCGACGATGGACGCAATCGTAGCGATGTAGACGAAACGGACGAAACTCGAAGACGTTGACTAGGCAGCAACCTCCAAGAGCCAAAGGCCTCGATCCGTGGGCGGCTCCCTTATATCCATCGCGCTGGAATCTTATGAATCTTCGCTGACTTTTACATGAAAACAATCTGCCATATCTTCAAATCTAAAGCACTACCGTAAACCAACATTACACTAAACTTAGGCATTACATTTGGTCGACGATTGTCGACAATCATTGACTAGTTTTTTGCCCAAGACAACGTGAAAACATAGAACTTTCAAAGAACCATCCTTATCTGGATGAAACGACATAACTTATGGGACAGACACACTTCTCTCGGAACGCTCTGATCCAGTGCTTCGCTAGCGAATCGCTCGATTCGTAAACTATGACATTGGCCGTGGAGCAAAAATCCTCACAAGCGTTATGTTTGATAAATTCGTCTAGCTCATAACAAACATCTGAAAGCAGATATTTTATAGCGCCTCTTTCCTTTTTCGATAGTATGCGTTTGAATGAGGTGGTGGATCCTAGATGCTAAAAACTCGCATGTTCCCAAAATTTTCATTGCGAATTTTGCCGCACGTGTTACTTCTCATTACGTCGCACGAATCCACCAGTTTTAGAGAAAAAATAACTGATTGACAACTCCAAAATCTCCTTTCTTTTTAGAGCGAGAGGTTCAGCGCTCCCGGGCTGCCGATCTTCCTGAGCTCCGCCTCCGCCGCTTGTGCTCCGCCCAGTAGTGTGTTGCTAGCAGCATTATTAATCTGACCATTTCGATGACAGATTCCACTTCCTGTAACTTCCCCGTGGAATGAGTCATCAACCGAAACATGATCTTTGCTGGAAATGATAGAGGCTATCAGCATAACATGTGCAAACGACCTCCTTAGGTTGCTAGCTCGTCCATTATCGGAGGTCAACGGGCAAAGAAAGGGGTCCCATTTTGCGCCTTCTTGACGGATTTCTTTGCTTTTTTCGCCACTGGGGCATTATTCAGCATCTCCACTTCCACTATGAACCCAACTCATTCTCATCGTAATTCCTCGCTTTAATTACGCCTAAATGAAAAATTTATACCCGTTTGAAAACGGCCACCATTTACAACACCTGCTCCGGTCTAGGTCTTCGTATCCGCAAATTTTCGTGGATGTCTCACTTGATTCTGCTCGGTGCTGCTCTCCATGCACCCCCTTCCTCGCCTGCTACTGTACGCGACCGATCCATCAGTCGAATTCGTCTTTATTGCTGTGATTTGAATGAACTACGAGCGCACACTAATGTTTACGGACGTAACGGCAATCAAAGCCGAGGTAATCTTGCTCTGAACAGAACTATATACAACACAGCTTAGCGGAAACGCTGATGTTTATTCTTGTCAATGCTGCATTGACAAACCCGTAATGG